GAGAACACTTAAAGAGACAGGTCATATATATATAACTTTTTCTTGCTCGGAATATTCACCAAGGATTACAAAAATGAACACTATTTCTGACTTAACAAAAGGTATTTTAGTATTTTATTCAGAAATTATCATTTATTTCATGTTTTTTCTTTTTATTTCTTCAAACATTCTTACAAAAAAAGCTTTGATTTAATGCTTTCAACAGAACGCGCAGAATGTTGATTACTGTAATTAATGGTTTTCAATAGATGCTTCCGTTTTGAATTTTAGAATAAAAAAATGCAAATGAGGAAGGCATTGTTAGTTCTTGTATTGAGTTTAAAAAACTTTGTTTTCAGATTCTTGCCAGCAAAGACACATCAGCTATCAATTATCCAAATTATGCTCAAGAAACTCCTCTACATCAAGCCTGTCTGGAAAAAAAAGAAAAGAATGTCCGATTATTACTACAGTATGGGGCAGATGCTAATATGATTGGTCGCCATGGCTATCCAATTCACTATGCTATGAAGTCTCTAGTGTTCAGTAATAATTCTGTTTCCACATTCTGTGTTGAATCGTTTATAATATAGCAACCCTGGATGTAGAGAATTTTAGTTTAATAGATTTTGCAATTCATGGAAGGCTCGGACTAAATGTCTGCAAAAATCAACTGACTTTGATTTTGAATATCATTTCTGATAGCTCAATGTTGAAATAACGATAATCGAAACAAAATATTGCCTTGAGATATGCTTATTTCATTATAATTTACCATCATTCAATGTGTATAGCACCATTATTAAGCGTAAAAATAAAAGTACTTTCATGTTTGTTGATTCTTACACAATTGATACTACTAAGACGCTATATATGGCATTTGTTTGTACTGTTTTCACAATTGATTTCACTGATGTCAGTAAGTTGAGATCTTACATGTTGTTATCCCATCATAATTTAAATAGGTGTGCCCAGATTATGTTGGAAGTCTCTCTGTTCTTATTTAAATAGGTGTGCTCAGATTATGTTGGAAGTGTTCCCACAACTTGCCAATGCACAGGACTCAAAGTATGGAGGCACTGCTCTTCATTGGGCAAGAACAGCTAAAGATGTTGACATATTGATAAAACTAGGATGTAATCTAGAAGCTATGAATAAAACAGGAGATACGCCATTGCATATAATGGTCATTAAAAAGAGACTGGACTGTATTATGTCTCTTTTGTGTGCTGGGGCTAATGTTAACTCCAGAGGACAGTATGGGAATACTCCACTACACCTGGCTGTACAGGTTAGTATATTTACACTGTTTTTTTCTGTGTACGCAAGGAGACCAGCAGTACACTTGGTATGTAGATGTGCCCTAGCTACAGACAATACTGATTAAAAGGGATTTCTGAAAGTAATTTGGTTTATATTTTCTGTTTCGGCTACTGTCTGTTCATTCGTCCATCCATCTTTATGTGTATGCTTGTCAAAACTTCTTCCACTGATATCTTAAGACTCTTCGACTGGACTGAAACTAAAAACTATTAGCATTGGGTAAGTAATCTGTTCATGTTGATTAGGTAAATGCATAATAATCAGTTTTAGGTGTTTACTGTGTATCTGCATCTGTTTTTGCAAATTCATTGAAACTTGGTACATAGTTGCTGTTTGCGTAGATCAATATCTAATAACAGCTTGTAATTAATATGTGCATATTAATTATCTATAATAATAATAATAATAATAATAATAATATGCGTACTAATTAGGTTGGTATTTGATACACAAATATCACTTGCACAATATCTGAAATCGAGGACTATTAATTAATCTATCCATCTCCTCAGTCTATTCGACTCACTACTATTTCACATGATTTAGTCGAAAGTTAAATTTGCATATAAATACTGTATTATTAGGTAATACCATATGTAGTGTTGTTTTGTGATTTGATCATGTTTGTCAGACTGATGGCCATTTTGTCTAAGAACCTGAATTTACAGCTTATAAATATGTCCAGAGCTGTTTTTTGGAGATAAACAGGGTTATTTCATTTAAATTTTGTATGAAGATCATACAAATTGACAGGTACATGTCTTATACTTGATCAGTGGCCATTTTGTTTTTTTTCATGTTCCTGCTGATTCCTCACTAACTCACTAATACATTACCTGATTCAGTTGAACTTTTGCACATAAGTACTATAGTTATATGTAATACCATTGTTGTGTTATTTTGTGTGACATGAAGTAATTTTTCGAATTGACATTCATTGTGTCTGAAATCCTAAAATCACAGTCTGTAACTGTTTCCAAAATCATTTCTCGCAGATGAACATGGCTTGAAACAAGTTTCCAAAAACACACCCTATTACATAGTGTAGCAATAGTATATTTAATTTGACACAAAATAACACAGTTAATACATAATTTATGGTCAATTGACTATGGTGGGGACGGGGTAGTAGAAACCAGAGTGTGAGCATGACCAAGTTGAGATAAGGGGGGGG